AGAAAATCTTTGTCATCTAGAACAAGTTTTCTAAAGAAGTAATCAGAGAACTGTCGTACGATTGAATTAAAATATAGAAAAGTCCGTAAATCATTTCACGGACAAGGATTGTTCTAGTTAATCGATAACTTCTAAACCCCTGTTTTGGTAAAACTTCAAGCAAGAGAAGACGCTGTTCAGATAATATAGAATCGGTAGTCTGATACTATTTGACGAAATACGGACTGAGAAGCTGTCCATCATTTGGAGTGATCCAGCCTCGAAAGTAATCGAGCGTAGAGTTTCATGCAACTTAAGAATGGTTTAGTCATAGGAGTTCACTGGCTATCGTTATAGTTAAAGTATGAAGTCGAGTGAGAACGAATTTTTCTTTTTCTTTTCCTAATATTAACAATAAATAATTTTCTTTTGAAATATTTAGTAAACTACTAAACTATTCTTAGAAACTTCTTATGGCCTAGTCAGCAAATGTGTTATCCTATGGTTATAGCACGTTTTCTAATGGCAAATGTGATTGGTAAGTTTTCTTTCAAATAATAATTTCAATTCATTATAATTGTCTTTTATTTTAATAGATCAATTACTTGAACATCAAAATCAAAATGCTAATACACATTTAATAATTGATTATCTTGATTTAATAAAAAAAATTATTCAATTACTTGGTTATTCAGATTTATTTGATTTTGATCAATTATTAATTTCAACCCAAATTGGATCTATAGAAGAAATTCGTGTTAGTGAAGCCTTAAAAACAGGTAAATATTGAGAAAAAATCAAGAATTTTTTTTTCATTTGTTTTGTTTTTCTAAAACAATAGCTTATTCAACATATCAACGTTGATTTATTGAAATGAATGATGAATTCGATTCAACATCAATGATTAATAATGAAAAACGAACATCAGCTGCTAAACTTGTTAATCAATTATATTTTTTTCCAATTAGATATATACTCAATATGGATGGTACGATAAAAAGTGATGATGAATCATGTATTAGTGTTAAATGTGCTATACTAATATGTCTATCGTACTTATAAACAATTTAATCCATTTGTTTATCTTACTGAAAGTATGTTTAATTCTTGTTTGACTTTTTTTTGTAAAGTTTCAGTTCAGTGAAATAGATTTTTTTTAATAATCCAAAATTATTTCTAATATCGTAACAGTAGGAGGGCCTAGATGAAGGGGATTGTGGCAGAGTTTAGTTGACGTGGCTTCAATTTGTTAAGGTCTCAAAGTTTTAGTGAAAGTTATCTGATAGATATGACACTTTCACTATTAAATTGTTGAAACATATATATATTGGAATCTGAAAATTCAAGAACGGAGATTTCTCAATATTGATTCAGCAACTCTAGTCCTATTCCTACTTTCAATTTTTTTGAAACCAACAAAAGACTAGAACATTATCAGACTCGAAAAGATGTCAAGTAGAACATTTTATTGAAGCTCAAAGCCTGCATTTATACATCAGAGATTGAAATTATACAATCACACAACTATCTCAAAAAAGTTCTAAGCCGAAGTTCGAGATATGAAATCAATTGTATCCTCTAAGGAGTTTTTCTTTAGTCTTTGAAGATTTCTAATTAGATATAGTGTTGTAATTAAAATAGAATTTTCTAATCAGAAAAATGAAATTTCCATCTCTATATGACTTGTAATACATTAAAATTTATCGAACATCAAGGTATCTTTTTTTTTTCTTTTCTTTAAGATATTACATATCTTTTATCTTTATGTGAACATGGTGATCTACATTTACGTGGTGCATGTGCGAATTTACCTGCTACATTAATTTAAACAACAATTCATCTTTTAACACTATCATCATTATCAAATTCTTTTATTAATTCTTTTATTAATCAATATTCACTTGTATCAACTGATTCACAAGACAGTTCAAGGTTATATGTCTTAATGATAATAATGCACGTGTTATCCAATTTTTCATTAAATGCTTTACGAACATTATTACCTTTTTTATTAATTAATAGTCATGCATTTACAATCATAGAAATTAAATTATTAAAAGATTCTATTCAACATACTACAAGTTCCTGTATTCTTGCTAAAGTAGATAAAAGAAATTTATGATTATAATAATGTTTTTTTGTCTGTATATAAAATAGGTTAGTCTAGCTCAACTTATAGATGATATTGATTTTCGAATATTAACTTATCTTGAACAACAACAACAATTAAAACAACAGTACCCTGATATATGTGTTCATCAAGCAACTGCTTCGACTTTTGCTAAGTATGTATTTTGTAAAGATAATAATTACGTAGCTTTTTTCGAATTTGGATGAATAAGTCGATTTTATTGCATTAAGTTAGTTATTAGCTACTTTTTGATTTTAAGGTTTTGTTGATCACAATTCATTTTTACCATGTCAATGGATATATAAAATTCATCATTCATTACAAGCTCAAGCATCAACTCGAATACAAATTGTTTGTCATTTTTGTCTTTTATATAGGTTGGATGTTTAGAAGATATTTATGTTCTTTCAAATGTTTTAAGGCCAACAACAATTCGACCAATTTTTTCATAATCAATATGATGAACTTCGTTTATTTATAAATTTTTTTAAACATTCCTTTATATTACATGATCTTAAGAATTTAATCTTTTCAAGTAAAGAGAAAAAAAAGATATTTATAATGTTTTTTTTTGAATTCTTTCTTTTTATTTGAAGATTTATCAAATCTCAACAAATGAAAAAATGTTTTGAAAGTAGCATAAATGATTCAAGTAATTCGAAAAATTGAACTATTTTATCATCATTCTTTTGAACAGAATATAGTTGATATTTCAGTTTTCACAGAAGAAGAGTTCCAATGTTTTAGATTTGAAGAATATATTTGATCATGTTTCGTCTGAATGAATTCATTTGTTTTCTCTTTTTAAATAGAATGAAAAAGATTCATCAACAACATCAAACACAGACAAAGTTAAAAAAATTAATCATACACAATTAGGTACTTTTGGAAATTATTCGAATTAATACGTTCATCTTATCAAATACATAAAAGTCTATTAAATTCATCAGAAATGATTATTATTGTCTATGAAATCAGTTTTAAGTCTTATTTCTACACAAGATTTATCAAAAAAATTTGGAAGAGAAACACTTGATTATTTTATATCAACATTCAATGTACACAAAAGGTAACTTCTTTTAAATAGTAAATATTTATTGTAAAGAAAATTTCAATTATTAATCTTTTTTGTTTATTGGTTAAGCTAAAACCTCTAGGATGTTGTATTGTGTCTGAAACTTGTCTATGGATAAAACTTTAGATGGAAATATTATAATGAGGGTTTCTGAAAGGGTCTTTCCTAGAGAAGGAAAATTTCAATATAAGAATGTCATAGTAATAGAAAAACTGATTTTACAAATATCGATGATCTTAACAAGATTAGTTTTGTTGTGAAAGTGTCAGATCTTTTGATTCGGTTCTATCTTGAAATTCGAATATTAAATCATCTAGTTGACGTGAGCGATCTGCAAGAAACGCTATCAATTCGAAATTTGAAAATCATTTTTTCTGTTAACACAACATTCATTTAAAAATATTCTTTTAATTTAGTTTTTATTAAATCTTCAAATGTTTCTTCACAAGTATCATTAAATAATTCTTTAACTTATATTCATACAATAACTATTCGACAATCGATAATTTATTTTATTTGGTTCACGTTATGCATCAAGTATAAATAGTGAGGAATTCATAGAAAATAGTGCAATACGAGAGTAAAATAAACAAAAAAATGAATTTGACCTATTCTGTTGTTTTTGTTTTCTATTTTAGTTTTTATTGAACTATAAAATTAGTCTTAAAAAATATATTAATACAAATGAAAGTAATTTTCAAGCTGCTGTACTCGATTTACTTGTTCAATTACTTTTAATTCGTGTTAATTATGATTAATTAGAAGCTGATGAAATTCATTGCATTTCTAATCTTTTCGTTTATTTTTAAATAGCATTTTATTTATTGTATTGCTGAATTTCTTGTTATGTTATCACATGATACACTTCATTCAAAACAAGTTATTAGAATACAAGATTTAATAAAACATTATGATTCATTATTAGCAAGTGGACATGAACCTGAAACACATAGTAGGAAGCAAAAAAAAAACATTTTCGAGAAAAATAAATTATCGTTAAAATTCTTTATTTAGCTTTGGCAGCATTAGAACCAGTTTTATATGATTTTTTTTCTTGTTCGAGTTATGCGAATAATTAAAATTCCTAAAAAGTTTTATTAAATGAGAGTGAACAAAAAGTGTCCTTCTATAAAGTCTCAAATATCTTAGAAACTCGAGAGGGTGTGAGTGTGGGTGTGTAGATGTAATTTTTCTCCTCGATTGAACCCACACCCATACTTCAACGAATTGATGATCTGAAAATAATCATCTTGCTGTTATGTATCTGAGTTTGAAGGAAAACTAGGCGTCTTAATTATTATAAATACAAGTATCTTTTCATATCATGTGTATGTACTGAAAAAATAATAATAGAATTTATATTGTTATAGGCTTTACGATTGTTCACAGTTATTGTTAATAGTGTTCAAATTGAAGATGATAAATGGAAACGTCTTTTACGATAAATTGTCGATGCACTTCTTGTTCATTTACAATCACATGTTACTATTGGTTTATCTCAGGCTATTTTTTTGTTCAAATAAGATTAATCACTTTTGGAGATTTATTTCACACAATTAACACTATTTGATGTTGTGTCATCAGTTGAATTACGATCAATTGATCCATTTGTTATTGCTTTTCAAGTATTAGTAAATAGAAATGTTCGTTGTTTTTATTTATAAAATTTTCCTGTAGTTTACAATTTTTTCGAATGTCAATTGTCAATCTACAAATCGATAATTAAATCAATATAAATATAATACTTCAATGTCTTGTACAAAATTTAACTGAAGATGCTATATTAACACGATAGAATGATGTTTTATCATCAGTTAATGAAACACGAGATGAAACTTTTAGTGGGTTAGTATTCGAAATGATTTTATTTATAATTTAAAAACTATTATTCTCGTTTTTGTTTTCAGAACTCTTCTTCGTGTTTTACATGACATAATATTATGAATTTTAACTAATACTTGACAATTATGTGGTCAAATCAATATGACATTAGTTTCTCTTGCATCCGATTATCTTTATGTACATATCACCCATTAATTTGAAGATAAAACTTTTCTACAATTCATTAATTACTAATGATCTAGCGAAAAACATTTGACTTTAAAATTCCTATGCTTATATACGATCTATAATTTTATTTTAGTTAAACAATTTCGAACAATTGTAAATGATTTTCATCAATTATGAATTCATGATGAAACTGTACATTGTCTTGAGACATTTTCATATTTAACTATTTTATTTGAATGTTTTAAATTATTATGATCATCATTTTATATCTCATTATTATTACAATGGACACATTCTGAATATACTTGATTATACACAAGAAGCATGGTGATCACCAATATTGACACCATCATCAAGAATACATTTATCTATCAGTGGTCAATTACAATCTTATTGTGATTTAATATATCATCATGAATTATATGTTGAACATTTTACATCAATAACAACACATTATCAATTATTATTATTATTTTTTATTTTATCTTATACATCATACATCAGTTGCAAGTCATTTATTTTTTTTGTGAAAGAATACATTTAGATGAAAGTGGTCTTCTATTAGTTTTATTAGTTGAACAATTCCTTCCATTACCATTAAATAAACAATTATTACCTAAATATTTACCATTAATTTTATAAATATTATCAATAACAACATCAATTGATATTATTAAAGAAGATTTTAATAATCTGAATTATCCTATAGATATAACAAGAAAAATTTATGCACAAATGCTTAAAAATATAACTTATAAAAATGATTACCATTAATGATGTCACCGGTATATTTTAGTTTAATTTATCGAAATAAATATATATATGTATAATAAAAATTTTAATTCAATTAAAAGAAATGTTTTTTTTTACTTTGACATTGTTTATGTGCTAGTAATAGATGAGACTTTTGAATAATTCAAAATTTCAAAAAATATTTTGAAATAGAAAATATGCAGAATTTCAGGTAATACAAATCGTAAAGGAAAGCATTTAAGCTACATTAGTACAATGACCGAATAATTCCTCTCGAATCTTATTGATCAAATTCTCAGTCGTGCTATTTGTACTATTACAATTAAAGAAAACGACGTCTTTCTAATATTATATTTCGAAATAAATTGCATTCGAGAATTTCGATAAACTCTCTATAAGTTTGAACTCGTGAACTCTGAAAACGTATTGAATTTTTTCCACAGCATTAAATTTTTAGGATGATTCTTATAGTAAATGAAAATTGATTTGAGAAAATACGAAACAATATAAATCTGTTCTTTGTTTGTTTTCCTAGAATTTTGTATAGTTATATCAAATGAAACAAATTAAAATGATATTGAAACAACACCTAATACAATTTATGAAAAAAGTCTTTTATCATGCTTCTAATAATCAACCATATTCAATTGCATTCATAGATTCTATATCAATATATTTTGATACAATACGAAATCATGTTGAATTGACATGTCAATTTTCAACAGGTGATATACATAATTTATTACGTTTTATAATATTTATATCAGAAATAATTTATATAAATATATTTCAAAAAAAAAACATCATTTCTTAGTTGTGAAACAGATCAAATAATATCATGTTGTACATTATCGAAAATACTATTATCAATATTTGAATATATTTATCAACGACATGGTTTAACTATATCAAATATATTATAATCATATTTTAATTTAATTGAACCAGATAAAAGATCATCTTTATTAGTGAACAAGAAAAATTATATATATCATATATTTATTGACATGATTTATATTGTATAGCTATATTATTATTTTGTTTACCAATATTTATATAAAGACAATTTTGAAGTTGGTTGATTATTAAGAATACAATTTCAAGAAATATAGGCTTCATTTTTAGCTTCAATTAATTCACCACAAATCAATCTAATGATGAAAATAAACAAACGACAAATAATTATAAAAGAAATAGAAGAAACTTTAGAAACAAATGCAACACAATGGTAACAAGATTGAAAAATAAACTAGATTTTATCTGTTTTGTTTTTTTATCGGTGGTCAATATATGCAAACACGTCCAACATTAGATACAAGTTCAAATAATTTATTTACAAATATTGAACGGTTAGGTACACGTGATTTATTATCCTATGGACAACTTTCAAATGATACTATATTAACATCAATCCAAAGCAATAATACATTACCATTATCAGTTAATGTAAGTCTCACATATGTTTTAATAATCGACAAATAGAACTCTAAGTTAAAAGAAAGATAAATTCATTGCTAAATTACTCATTTCAACAAACAGAAAATCTAGTGTTTCTCTGACTTTGATTTGATATATAATACATGCAAACTATCTTATTTCATAGAGATAAAAGCTTATATCAATAATTTCAAATATATTCTATCAATCAAAAAATTAGATTATGAACATTTTCTTTTCTGGCATCCATCTTTAAAAATATATAATTTAGAGTTTATTTGATTGCTTATTTTTTCATCATGGTTTTGATTTAACATTATCATTACAAATTCTAATTGAAATATATGTAATATAAATTAATAGGTTCAATTATATATCTATCTGATTTGTTTGTACATGGTTTGATGAAGATGATTTAATAATATCCTTAATAAGTTATAATTTATGTAAATCTAGTATATTACTTGAACAAAGAACTAAAGAATATAATGAATTATATATAAATTTAATTGAACGTAATTATAAATTAATAACTAAAACTCATGCATATACATTATGTTTATTTTTACTTGAAAGTCATGAAGTTGATTTAAATTCATACGATATTGGATTATCATTGATTAAAGATGATAATTTAACACAAAAACTTATATCAATTAGTCTTGAAAAACTTTTAATAGTTGGTCAATATCCCAAAAATGATATATAGTGTTAATACTTTCACGTATTTATACATTATTACAACGACCAAATAAAAATACAAATTCATTAAATAATGAACATGTTAATAAAGAACAAACAATAATTGATAGTTCATCAATAATATCATCATCAGATAATATTCTTATTGAACTTGTTGAAGAATTATATACACGTACAAAGCAATCATCAACATTACCATATGAAGCTTTACTTTTATTACGTTCTTTATCATTATTACTTGCACACATTAGTTTTTTTTTTCGTGCTTTAATTAATGCACGTTATTCAGCTAAAATTAATGAATGGACTTTATTATCAATAACAAATATTGCACAAAGAAAATCACTATGTATGGCCATATAGGAGTTAACTTGTCTTATGTTAAGTGCATGTCTATCACAGGGTGTGGGTGTGGGTGAAGACAAGACCTATAATGATACCCACACCCACACCCTCTTATGAGTAAAATTCTGCCTATGGTTAAATATTCTTCCTAGTTTTCTTTTTAAAAATTATCAAGACCTACACATACGATTAAAATGTATTTGACAAAGATAAATAGTAAAATAGTAATGAAAAACAAAAACTCTTTATTGCAATCCAAAGGAATGACGATCAATACAAAATCAATAAATTTCACCATGAAATGTCAAAATGAATTTTCATAGATAATATAGTA